ATGCAGCCTGAGTAAGTCTACAGCACAGTATTAACTTAATCCTAGGAACTGAAATCGGTTAAACGCTTTCTATTTCTCTTCAAGCTCTCACAGAGTGTTAGATCACCCAAATTATGAAATCTATGACAGTGTCAGTGAGGACAAAATGCACAAAGTCTGTATTGTAAACAACTGACCCTAAAATCATAGAAATGTGCACTATAAAAAAAAACTGTAAAAAAACAGGAAAAGGTTCTGGCAACAGAGGTGCCAGACAAAACCTGTAAATGTTTGTTTTCTCAATGACTGTAAACATCTGTAAAATTACATTTAATTTCTTAGAAATGCTGCCTTTTACTAGAAATCAGTTGAACTAGTCTTGCTGAAGTATTTTTATACAGTATTTTACTGTAATAATAACAGCAACAGCCATTAAAATAAACACTGTCTGTGAAAAAATGTTGGTGAAATAAAGGTGATCATATGTTTTTGAATGAATTTCTTTGAATTTATTTTTCAGTAAATTAACAACAGCAGTGATAAAATGCAGTATGAGTAAGGTTTATTGACATGAATTTAAACTTTAAAAAAAAGGTATCAACCATTACATTTTACAGTACTTTTGATTATTTATACAGTGTATAATACAGTAATGCAAAGAGAGTTTAAGAATAGAAAATCATAACATTTTGCGGCTGCTCCTGTACTCCATCTCTGTTCCTACTGCTCCTCTTCTATCCTGGAAAACCATGGAGGAATCAAGGAGAGGAAAGGAGCAGGAGGAATAGAGAGAACGATCAGACATTGGGAAAATGGGACAGCTAAATCCCTTCAACGTCATTAAATTTGATGTTGACTATTGATGAAATGAGCCTATCACAACATTTGCTTGAAAGCAGTCCTTCAGCTGCTACACAGAGCCAGCCTATTCACATTTGTGTGGTTTTCTATTCCCTTTTTTGTTGTGCACAAAGTGCAAAATGCACAACACAGATATTTCTAGAAATCCATTGAAAACAGAACTTAAAGTACAGTTCCGTTTGCTCCATGTTTGTCCGTCCTGGGCATATCTGCAGTGATGTCACTCTAATATCTGTAAAAGACGTCCTGGACAGCATACACTGCTGTATCCTCTGCTGGAAGCTGCTTCGACTGGTGTTTGAAGCGACTTCTCTCGTCTCCTTTGTTATTCAGACAGCTGTCACAAAATTGGTTTTCAGCAACTTTCAGGGTTTCTGGACGTAGCCAGGGTCTCTGAGATAGCTGAGTGTTGGCTAAATGATAGGTGAGGGTGGTGGGAGGGGAGGTGAAACATGATATTATTGGTTAATATTATTTTTCCCCACCTGCTGGTGCATGGTGACCTCATCAAAAAGCAGTAGCCATTTTAGTGGCAGGCAAACGTTGTTATATTTTGATGAAAACTAAAGCAAATGAAGAATTTTGTTATTTAAATGGTATGGCATGATGAATTGTGCTCAGTATGACCAAGGACATAAATTAACCAGGTGAAAAGGTCAGTTAGTACTGAGCTTGAAACAAGATTTGCACACGGTGGCTAACTTACTGGAACCTAAATGCATACCCGTGTTATCCAAACTGTGGTTTTGGACCATGAGCAAGACATGAATTGAAGGAATAATTCACTTTCAAACACATTTCCCAGAACAGCAAACTTGTGATGAAAACATCGCTGCTCATCCATCTTGTTTGAATAAGCACAGTAACAAAGTAGTGGAAGGAATTAAGTTATGTTTGCTCATTTCCTGCATACTTATAGATTTCATTTTTTTTCTTCATACTGATGCCAATATGCTGACACACCAAATTCACTAGTGTTTCAGGGAAGAATGTGTTAAGATATCCATTTGTTTAAAGTCCCAAACAGAAATCACTACAGCTGGCAGGCTGGATTACTCACCACGATATGATAAAACAATCCTACTATAAAGCTGGTGAAAATTACACTACAGTATGTACTGGTGGTGTAAAAAATAATGGAAACACTATATGAAAGTCATGCTCAGTGTCCCACACTGTATAATGTGTGACGCAGAGGCCACACTTTGTTTTTATTTGTTTTATTTATTACGTAATTGCGCATTAAAATATGCAGATGTTTGTTCTCTGTAGAGCCATGGTCACCAGCCCTCCTCCTGGAGATCTGCCTTTCAGCAGAGTTTAGTTCTAACCTAACTTAGGTATGGAAATCTATAGTACTGTAACATTGTGGTAGAACTCTGGTATGGACATTTATGGTACTGGATAAGTGTTGTAGAACTCTGATATGGTTGTCTATGGCACTGCATAAGTATTGTAGAACTCAGGTATGTTAAACATCTATAGTCAGTTACTGTGTAACCTTGAACTACTGTGTAACTGAAGACAAATTCCATGTATGTGCAAACATACTTGGAGAATAAAGTCTAATTCTGATTCTGATACTCAAGCATAGTCTGCTCGAACTTCTAGCATGTTAGTGGGGCTGTGTGCTCTTGGCACTCCTCACTTGGCAATGCTTTGCTAAGAGGGTTTTAAGAATAAGCTGTAGAATAGATTACAGTGATCTCATTAGGTTCATATGGGATCTGGGGCATCTAGTGTATACAGAAACTCACAGAACTAGAAGCACACACTGCCAGCACTTTTCTCCTCACTAAAAACTTTCTTTCTAATTAGCCAGAGAACAACACAATGTGTTGTGAAGTAATATTCTTAATGGGATCTCCTCTTAATCTCATTTACTTCTCCTCGGCGTAGTTAGTGTGAGACTCATAATCAGTATGAGACTCACCTCCTGAGAAACAAGCCTCCGATTTTTTTACTGTCTCACAGATGGCTTAACTCTTTTGTCTCTGACTCATCTTGTTCCAGCCTCCGCTGAATTATATTTATGTAAGTGTGAGATCTTTTTTTCTTTTACAGCTTTTCTGTGTGTCTAAGAAATATTTCAGCTTTCTGTGAGCGTAGATGGAGAATAATTTTCATCTCATTTGTCTCTGGAACTCATTTGTCTTTAGAGGAAATTGGGAAATACCAGCTGTCCAACTAGTAAACTGTCCACGGACAACCAATGAAGCTTTGTTCCCAAGTGAAAAATTCAGCTGTGTTTACCAGATGTGAAGTAAGTATGTGACCATTCACTGTGAGAACCAATGAATCTGGCCTTGAAAGTGATGCCTAAAAATAATTCTGTGAAAGTGAAATAGGTATTCTCCAGACATTCTCCATGCTTTTTCCTGTGTTATTAGTTAACCATTTGGCATGTACAACCTTCTGAGGAGCACCTGAATGCAGCATTAGCCTCCTCTTTGCTCATATGGGTGGTTTAGGAGAAAGAATTCCGAAATCAGTGGTTCGGATATTTGAATTTATAAGGCATTATTAAAAAAATATATATTTGTTCTGTCTGTATTATCTGCTGCCCTCAGTGCCAGAGACTGTCTGGTGAGGCAGCACAGAGCTTCTCCTCCTTTGTGCAGTAACCTCTAGCTGCCTGAAGTAGTCTTTCTGTACTTCCTTCTTTGGACTAAACCACATGTGTCAGGCAACAGTCCTCGCGGGCCAAAACACTGCAGACTTCAGCACCCTGCCTCATGAAAAACATCTGATTCAGCTCATCAGTTCCTTAACTGAATGTACTGAATTCACAGTTTTAAATGAGGGTAAATGCTAATTTCCGCAGCACTTTGGGCAGGAAGGTCCCCAGTTTGACATGCCTGGACTAAGCCACAGTCCTTATAGAAAATCTGTCCACTTGATGGCCATCCTGGTAAGGCCCCTGCAGATATTTCTAGTCATACAGCACTAACAGCTCCTATCTCTTTTAATGGAGAGATACTACTAAATCCAAAACTAAAAGCCTCTTTAACATTTCATATTTAAAATCATTGGTCAAATCTGACAAAAACAGCATAAACAGTTTTTAGTATTTGCCTCAAATAATGCACAGAAAGCATGCGTTTTTCTTCTCAAGGAGAGGGCGCATTTTCTGTTTGAGGCTTTACCCGCAAGCTGATTGGCTCTTTTCATTGAGAGGCAGAACTTTCCTCGTAAACAGACGCCATGTTGAGCATTACTTTGTTTTGTCCAGTGTCCTGTCTCTTCCTTTATAACATCTCTAACCAAACCCTTATGAAACTGACCAAAACGTAAGACACAGGCTCTTCTGGTGGAGCGTAGTGACAAAAAATAACAAAGTCATTCAGAGTGTTTTGATGTAAAACGCTCCATTCTAGAAAAACTTGAGTCAGAATTTTCCACATTGTCCACAGCAGTGGTGAAAGGAACCAGATGGCTCAAGCCTCTAAAGCTGCCTCACTTTCTGTGAGGCAAGTCTACATTACATGAAATTATTAAAACAAAAGTTTTTAAAAATATAGGTTTTGGTCTAAAACATAGTTCTTTAAATCCATTCATGGCGGAGAGGTGTAGGCAGGATCGGATGGCAAAACAGAACCTAAAGTATGTATGTATTTATTTATCGCTTTTACATTATCAACAATGCGTTCACAAACCTACACTGGGTTCACTGGTCCTTTTCATAGGGAATACATTTATTTCTTGTAATATACACATTGTGACTACCAGTTTCACACATTCCAACATCACTGTAAAAAAAATAAATAAATAAATAAATTAATCCACAATGTAGCATTCCACATCAGACCACTTTGGGTAACATCTTATCTACTGAATTATGGAGAAAATTTCATTTGAAAAATTGGTGGAATTTCCTTTTAAAATGACAGTGTCCCCTTTGGATAAAGCTAATCAGTCTGAAGAATAAATGATTGATTGATTGATTGATTGATTGATAAATAAATAAAAAATATAAAATAAAAATAATAATAATTATTGTTATTAATGTTGTTGTTGTTGCTACCAAAGTACACGAGCTATCATTAACTGAACAAGTTTCTTTTCTTTCTTTCTTCCTTCCTTCCTTTCCTTTCCTTTCCTTTCTTTAAAGGCTGATTTGTGGTTTCGGTAAGGCGGTACAAATTCGAGCTGCGCGACTCAACACACCCTCTTCACTCCAACTGTGGGATGCAAATGGCAGCTATCGAGGACCGCTAACTGCACTCGGGGCCAGTCACAGAGGACTTCTGGGGTTTTTAACATGGACTGATTCATCGAAGGGCATGTGGACTTGCCAACGTTGAGCCGTAGGAATAAGGGAGAAGAGGATCAAGTGGATTTAGCTTTCGAAACCCCAAATCGTTCGTGTGAAATAAAATTGTTGACCTCGACAGGGTAAGACATCGATGCATCAGCTAAGCTAGCTAGTAGGCTGCTACCTCTGCTACCTTTCCCCGCTGCTGCCTCCCTCTCACCGAGGGCTGGCCTCCCCGCGCTGCCTTCCCCGCCGCTTCCCTCCGCTGTGGCCTCAAGCTCACCCGAGGCTCCGGCGTCTGCAGCTGCTGTGTGGTGTGGTCATGAAAAGCTGCTTTTGTCAGAGAAGGAAGGACGCATTGCCGCGAGTAACAGTTAAGTCGAGACGACATTTAACGCTAGTCGTAAGACAGTTCGTTGAATTGCTCTACCCAAGCTAACAGCATTTTAGCAACCATTGTATGTTAAGTCGTTGAACCAGCCAGCTGGATGGCTAACCTAGCTTGCAAGGAGAGCTGTTTACCGTTATTTTCTTCACAGCCGTCCACCAACTATTACTGTATCTTTCTCATGCATGACATGGTGAAGAATAAAGCGTACAGTAATTACTTCATCCATGAAACTGGCTAGTCGGCTAGGCAAGTGTAGCATATTCAAGTTTTATAGTTAGCGAGCTAATATAAACACTTAAGCTAGCTAACTAGCTAGGTGGATAACAGCTAACGTTAGCTAGCTACAATCCGTAACGTTTTCTTAAGGGCTCTGTCGTCTGAGTAGTCGCTTGTTTTTCAAAATGTAGCTACAAATTCGGAAGTCTGTCTATTAAATAAAAACGTTATGCAGAATATATTTAAAACCAACTAACTAATGCTCAGTGCACTGAAATCAAATTGGCCTGTTTATGTGCTGTGGGGATGTAAATGCTCAGCTTATTGCGGTGTCCTTTTTGGGGGGGTGTCGATCAGCTAGCGAGATATCCATTTATAGCCAGGCAAGTATAAAAATGCACAGTTGTCGTTATTTTTTAGGACTTTTTCAGTATTTCAGAAGCTAATATTTGCTTAAATTGTCATGTCTCACACTTCAGTTGCATTGCTGATTCTCTTTGCTTTCCATTGCTTGTTTGTGGTGGTCACCAGCTTTCAGACAATTCACTCTTATCAGTGGTCAGTGAATTTGAGTTTGGGTTTTATGGATTTGATGGGTATGTAAAGTGGGTATAAATTCTACTAAAAGTTATCTGAGCTGTCTCATTTTAGTAACCCTGGGGAAATTGTCTGCTTGGTAAGAAGTGTTTTTGGCTGAAATAAGGCAGCAGCTATTTTCTTTGACAATACAAGTTTAATAGAAACGTTGCCCAAACTTGACAGACGTATAATAAATGGCATAAAAGCTTTCACTGACTCAGTGGCATAAGAGATTCCACCTCACCTTGTTGTTAAGTAAGATTTTTCCAGACATTGTGATATGAGTAGAGAGAGAACCCGAAACCAGTATATGTGCTATTTGAATCAGCCGTCAGTGCCTGTATTCACCTGGAAAGTGAGTGATGTGAAACAAGACCGCCCCGTGCAATGTGAGGAGCATCTCAGTGAGCAGCTCGTATTGCATGCCAGAATGTAATGTTTGTCTCTGGCACCTGCTAAGTTTGATGTGCCTTTATGTCCTTTGGAATATTTACTCGCTGGCCTCTTTGTTAGGCACCTTGTATCTACATTCATTGTCCATTTTATCTGGTCTACTTAAGATATAGGTTCACTTTGCAGCTCTACAGTCACAGATAATGCCGCTACCATATTAGTGTCACTGCAGTACTGAGAATGATCCACTACCCAAATAATACATGTTCTTTGGTTGTCCTTTAGGGTTCTTGACCATTGAGGAATGAGGTAAAATAGGGACTAACAAATTGTAGAGCTACAGAGTGTCCCTATATGGTAAGTGGACATGATAAAATGGACAGTGAGTGTAGATACTACAAAGGTATGGCCCCTAAATGTGTATTTATATTAATCATGGTAGGTCTTATTATTTGTTCATGTGGTACTTATTGCTTAGATGGCCTAACTTTGCCCTTATTAATTGCTATATAATAATTGCAGTTAAAAATTAACTGCAGTAATTTTTTTTGGTCAATGGTAAACAACTATTAAAGTACAGGGCTGAAGTAGTCAGGCTGGCTGATCAAAATTAGTCTTGCAATCTAGCTGTCCAAACTTAGTAGCAGCCAACTGAGGACAGACACATCTCAAATAAACTAACATTACTCACTGCTGCTTTCCGTCCTCACCACTGTGTCATAGCCAGTCAGAACATTTTTGTTTTAGTGAGACTGTTGGTGTGTTTTCATAGCCCAACAGATGAAAACGCCTCCACTTCTCATTCATTTTGTGATCTAAACATATAATTGTGAAAGCTAACAACAGTGGAAAATAATGGCAGTCAGCCCAAATAATTGCACTCAGGGGATTATGTAATAATTATGACAGGCCTGTTTAGACATCCAGTTCCTGTATACAGCATATAACCTACCACCAGTCTTCATGGCACTTCATTGTGAAAAAGCCACTTCTGTCAACTGTGATTTACCTTGTTTGTTGACTGCTGCAGGCTTTTTTCTGCCCCTCCCACCCATCAGAAGAGTTCTCACACTGAGCTTGTGTTCACTTTCTCACCCTTTCGTTATTCACTTGCGTCTGCTGTTTGCCTTACCTCAAGACAGCTCCATCTGTGCCAGTGATTTGACACAACCCCTTTGTGACTTGTTTGGGCAAGAGCTGAGTGTAGCCAAGAAGAAAAAGCCAGGCAGGGAGGTCTGGTTGCCAGGATTCCTTCAAACACTACTCTTATTAGTATGCTACTGTGATCTAGACGTCTCGGGTCTATGTGTAACTCTGGAGAGTCTGAAAGAAAATGTGCCTAAAATCCCCAGCAGTCTTAATTATTATATCAGTCTATACCATGGATGACTTGTGAACTGGTATCTGGTCTGGCAGGTTGTGCTTATCTTCATCACTGGATCTGAATGTCTGTGTCTGGGTTTTGCCGTCATTCCGCCTGTTTTCAAGATAGTGATAGTGTCAAGAGTTTGCACAGATGCCCGAACTTGCGCCTTAAGCCGGGCACGCACGACACTATTTTAAGCCTGATTGTAACTCAAAGTGCCACTTCTGATGAACTTTTTAAAATCGTTAACGATTTTTTAGGTTGGAAGCTTGATCAGAAGGCTCATCTGGTGGTGTGAAAGGACAAACGAGTCAGTCTGATTGGAGTAAGCTGCCGTGATTTGAAAATATCAGAAGATTTCCAAGGACTGAAGATGTTTGTGTCCTGTAGTGTGAGATGGTCAGTGATGAAATGGAATGAGTGATTTATACAGTAGCCAGTGAGGGAGCAAGGTGAGAATGAAGAAGAAAAGACATGTATATGTGTGACAATGGAGGAGCTGCTTGTTGAATACTAGCAAATGTTCAGATGCCTTAATAACTTTCATACATTTTAGATTAACGTTAACTTCAAGGCGCTTGCTTTTCAGTTTTACATCAACTAGACAGTTCATAGTAGAATGCTTCTTCAGTTCTTACTGCAGAATAGAATGATAACCTAACTCTATGTTCATACACAAATGCTTCTTATGTAGAATCATGAACAAGTATCTGTTAGTTGCAGCTATAGATGGCATTGATTCATTACCAGATATCGGTATTGGGCTGATATCAGTAGAAAATGTTGAATTGGGTATAGGAGGGAAAAAATAATGAATCTGATCCAATCGTGTAACAAATCTAGCCTGAAATAGCACGCAGTCACATTGTGTGATGTGGTAATGTTAGTGTTTGAGTAGTTTGAGCATGATAGTCTACTTTTAGATGTTCATCTTAAATGAAGGGTCTTAAATTAAATTGGAAAATTGGAACATTTCAAAGCTTAGTGGCTTTTAAAGAAATTGTATTGCCAATGTTCAATTAATATCAATATCAGAAAAACAAAAAAAAAAGGTATTGTGCAATCTCTAGTTGCTGCTTTGCAAATTGGAATCGTCGTTTCTATAAAAAGTTTATAAGTGCCTTCAACTTCCCTTTCAGATTGTCTTTAAAACCTGGCAAAGCGGTGCACTTCACTAGCCCCCACCCTGTAATCCCCTCCCACTGGGCGCTCTCTTTTGACTGTACTCTCACAGACCACTGCACTGTTCAAACATGTTTCCTGCTCAGGGGTTTAGTTCCTTTTATGAGGTCGTTTTCATAGTTTAGCGGTGTCGTCATGGTTTTGCACCATCCTCTGTTTTAGATAAATGAGCAACATTTGTTTTTGAGCATTACTGTGGAAAATGTTCTTAGCCAACAATTCAAAGAATAACACATTTTTTCCATGCACTGACTGCTTAGAGTCCAAGGTGTTTTCATACATAATTAATCTGTTAAGAACTTTTTTTTAATGTCTTTACATTATCAAGTTTGACATCTTTGATAAATTTAATAGAATGATAACAGGATGGAAGTGTTATGTAAGTGAACAGTGTGTAACCTGATTAGCAATAATTATTAATATTCATTTAACCTGATTTTATAATGCCATTGTAACCTTATGAATGAAAAACTCAACCAGCCTTACCTGCAAGTCTCCCCAGCCAGCTCCCAGTCAATAAATACTTTTCATTTCTTTATGCTCCAGCACACATTACTCAAGGCAAGAGCTTTAGATTGCAGATTTTTTTTGGCTCAAAGATGTTAGGCACTGGAATAGAAGAAAAGTGTAGATTGTGGACCTGTTTTCAACAGTATTGCTATGTATCTAAGTTGTTAAGTGGTTTTGTTGGTGCTGTTGGTGCTTGCTCTTACGTTTCCTGTCTTTATATATTGATGGTCTAACTAAATATTTTCATATCAGAACTCCAGGATGCCTGAGGTACGGGACCTGTCGGATGCCCTACCTGAGATGCCCATGGATCCCATCACTGGTGTTGGTGTTGTTGCCTCAAGAAACAGAGCCCCCACCGGCTATGATGTAGTAAGTATTCTATAACAAGCTATCAGTTCAGAGTGTATATTACACTTTAAAATTATAATTTTGAAAAAAAAAACAAAAAAAACAAATCAGTCCAGAATTTCACGTTATGCTCACACTAAAATGAACTGATTTTACTGTAGCCTTAATTGGCAGTGTACCATAATCTTACCTAAACTGTGCTGCTGACGCTTAATATTAAAGCACTCAGATAAGATTGGGGCCCAAAAAATGATTGAGGACATCTTTAATTAAACTGTAAGATGATGCCTAAAGACAGTGGTGTGTGTGTGTGTGTGTGTGTGTGTGTGTGTGTATAAAAAATAATACAGAAACGTCTGCCAACCAAAAATATCTAGCCGACAGCGATCCTGTGATCTAAACTGATCGCTGATGGGGACAGCACAACTGATAAGTCAAAAATGATCATGTAGTCTCAAAGCTTATGGCCATGTTTCTATTCAAAAGGTTGGGATTTTAGATTTTGGATTAAGGTTTAGGTTTGAAGCACTGAATTTTATTTTGAACCTTGTTTTTTTTTTTTTACTCCTCCGCAATATTGATTTTTTTCCCCCACCCTGCAATATCGATTTTGCAAGTTTGAATTTGCTTTTCAGGACTGTATTATTGATTATTAATTTGCCTCATATGTGCTAGATTCTGCAAGAAAAATGATAACAATACCGTTCTTTATATCAAGGGTCCTTATGAAGAGTTTGTTGTTGTTATTATTATATATTGCTCTCCACCTTCCCTTTGCCCTGTATTTTAAAAAATCTCAAATCTATTTGACTATATGATGTAACTGTTTTGGCCAGTGGCCGAATGTCAGTAGTCAGCAGTGTAAACAACACAAAACAAACCGAGCTACACACCAGCAATCCAGCCATTTAATTTGCAGAAAATATCTGGCTGTACTGGCTTTGGTTCAAAGGCATATCCAGTTAAAGCTTTTTGGGTAACTTGAGCTGTAAATGAAGCTGTTTTTCCCAGGGCTTGACTTGGAAATGCCACCAGACATGTAGGACAGACTGTAGTGCCAAACATAAGGGAGATTTTTATTTATTCATTTATTTACTATGACTGTAACGATTCATTAAATAATAATATGATTAAATTCAGTAAAGTGGTTCTCAGTGCTGTTTTTTTTTTAATACAGCGCAAAATGTGCCTCATGTTGATTGTTTATTAGCGCACTGAACATTATAAAGTACAACATTTTATAGAAATTTAGGGGCTTGCATTGAACGATACGATATGATGTTTTGATACACTGCCATTGTTCAGTTATTTTGAACAGATCTAGCAGTCTAGGAGAACATTTTAAGCTGTTTTACATGAAGTCAATCACTTCTTTTCATTTCTGATTTTTGCATTTTTTGAAGGATTTTCTTTACAGTGTTCAGCTTTCTTTCTATTTCTGAGAACTGTGCTGGTCTCAGAAAATCTGTGGGATTGTGGTGTTTCCTTTGGCTGGCTTAGTTGTGGTCGACACCCCAGCGTGGACCATGACAATGCTTTCTTGTGTGATGTGAGGCAGTGGAGTTTGTGTGAAAGACCAACCCTCCCACGTGTCATTCTCAAATGGCAACCCAGTGGCAATTTACATGCAGACACAGACAGTGAATGAGAGCAAGAGAGACCTCTGTTGTGTCCGATGATAACAATAGATTGGTTGTCATCTTTCTGTTGGCTTCACTGTCTGCATGTCTATGGGTTGACATTTGGGTCTCTCTAAAGCCCAGACTGTCGCAGTAGTAATTGTGTTCATGCTTTATATTCCTTGTATTCATTTTCTGTCCCAAAAAGTGTTCTTATAATTATTTTAATCTAGATGGTTACAATGGGAGTTTATCCTAGTGAATCCTAGTTGCATGTACTAATTACTTATGAAATTCTTTTCTTCTGTTTGGTTCAAGAATCAAGAGCAATATTACACTGGCACACAAAGAACATGGCTTGTTTATAAACTTTTGACCGATGACTGATAACCGACCATTAACTAGCAAGCCTAAAGTCAAGGATTTGACCCAATAAAGTAGTTAATTAGACAACAGAAACTTCCACATCTAAAAGCTGATTGGCTGATCCACATTCAAAGGCATTTTAAAATACTTATGAGTGCACACATTTACTGAATTATATTTTAAACTATGATATTAATGTAAAATATAAAAAAAGTGTTTATTGTATGGGTTGCGGATTGTGATGCTGATAGCTGGGAACTAGGCCTTTGCCAAGTCCTCTTATGCAGGTAACCGCGTGGAAAAACCACGTTACTGTAATTTTCCAGTGGTCCCTTACACTGAAGTGGAAGCAGGAGAAAACACTGAACATGTGCTTCATGTCCGGATCGTTTGCCCGAACTTTGGCCGGATTCCATTTACACTGTTCACTAAAATGCGACCCCAGTGTGGTCCGATTTTGCTTTCTCTTTTTAAAAAAGCACATCAGCACATGCGCTGTTTCCGTTTTACTTTGGTTTACTTTTTTCCCTGTTACGACATGAGTTGACAGACTTGGCGTGGCCCAGAATGCAAAACGGCTGTTAGTTTAGGGTGAACTCCAGAATCATGTGTTCTCCATCTTTCATTTCATTGTTTATCCTCTCACCTGCTGGTCAGCTCGGCAGATGCATTTCTGCTCACGTAATTGTATATGGACATTGAAAACTTGTTCTGTTCTGTCAGGATCAACCCCTTACTCTTATTGGAGTGAGCCAATCGTAATCTGATCACAGTCTGATCAAAATGTGTTCTGGGTGTGTTTACATCAGGCTCCTCATGTCGTCAAGTGAAGTTGGAATGTGATCCAATTACCGAGAACACATGCAAGGTCAGACCCTTTTGTGCTGAGTCGAAATAAACATAATGAAGCACAGTTCAGTAAAAATGGTTTGCAATATATTGTCATCTTTAAGTCGCCCACTAAACTGTAATTAATTTAATAATCTAATTGCACTGTGAGCTCCTGTAACCAAAACCAAAAAACTAATAAAGCTTGATTCTGATTCTAAAGATGAACAGAATTGCTAATGCCACATGAACTTTATCATCTGAGAGTTTGTGACTGCTTAACCTAGCTTGCCCTTTTCTCTGAAGCCATTTCTCCTGAGACAGTTTGAAACTACCCTTGGCAGTTAGATTTCACTCTAAAGAATTTATTCTGCTCATTACTGAAAGATTTAAGTTGGTTTGATATTTAAATATGTTTGATATGTGACTTCTATTAAAGAATTTCATTAAATGAGTGACCGTTTCAACCATTTTCTGCAAAAGATTTTCAAAGGCTGAAATTCTGATGCATCCCTACCTTTTATAATTGCCGTGTGCTGTGGCGGCTAACGTGGTTTGTAGGGATGCATTGAACCGATACGGGTATTGCCCGATACCATGCTCATTTACTCATACTCATACTCAACATCCAATAGCACCTAATAACATGTGACAAGCCTAGTGTAGGGCTGCTAGGCTAATAAAGAAATGACTCAGGCTGACAGTGATTGAGGGTCTGCTAAAGTGCAGCAGACGCTGTGGCAGTCGGACCCAAATTGTTGGTCACTAAACATTCGGTCTTGGTACATTCCTATCAGGCATACACTGTATGATTTTAGCCCGTGTACACAGTCGTAACCTTTATCCCAACACAGGTGGACACACGTAGGCTAACAAAACGGAGACAAAAAGTTGATGTTTGCTGCCAAAGTCCATATATAAAATTGCTATATTAATTTGTCTATGTGTCTATATTAATATGTCTATTGTTTGGTTTTAGTTTTCATTGCACAGTGTGGCACAAGCTAGCAGAGCTGCTGTAGTTCACTTTCTCAGCGTTTCTGTTTAGTACTTGGTGTGTAGTCTGCTGTTTTGATTGAAACAGCTTTACTGATAACTGTCCATAGACAGGGCTGTCTGAAGGGGCTATGTTTGGCATAAATTATACCGAGTGTTTTCACACAGTTTGTGCATATAAATCATGGGCTTTGCATGTACATGATGGTCTGGTCAAATGTACAGTGTGAGCTGTCACCAAAGAATGATTGCTAAAATCACGAAGTGTATGCTTGGCTTTAGAGGACATTCAATTACTGCTTAACCAGCCAACACAACATAAAACTGGGCAAGTAAGCTCTTTGGCTGCATTAGTCTCAGATGTTATTCCTGCTGTCACTGTGCTACAGAGTCTGTTGTTGAAAGAGACAGAGGAAGAGCATGAAATCAAAACTATTTAACAATTAATGATTTCACTGTTAAGGCATGATGCACTCATTTACACTAAAACTGCTTAATTCTAAGTAGGTTACTCGTTACAGTAGTTGAAAAAGATGGTATCGATGCATTGCCTAATCGTTTGAGTTGATGCATAAGCTTGTATGTATAGTCGTCCTTATACGGGCATATTGAATTGTCCTCGTGCTCTTTTGTTTTTGTGCTTCTACATTGAAGTCTTTAGGAAGAAGCTCAACGTGGTGTTAATGAGGTCTCACTTGTTACATGTAGATTTTCTTATAAAGAACCATGTTTCATCACAGAAAACAGGAAGTGTAGACACTTTTAGGATGTCTTTTCTTTTGGCAGATCCTCCTTGGCTGTCTGGCCTAACATTTGTTTCCTCTTTCTTGAATGTTATTTATGTTATTTCTGTTATTTCTTTTAACTGCTTTTGTCAGGATGCTCTGTGTACTGACCTGGGGGGGGAAAAAAAGGGTCAAGTAGTTGTTGAGTAGATCTCAACATGATAAAAAGGTGTTCAAATTGGAAAGGAGAGAAGTGAACATTGGCTCATTTGCATCTCGAAAGCCTGCATCTCTTTTTCTGCTGCTCCTTTTTTTTAAATCTTGCACTCGTTCTCACAAGCCTCCCTTTATTTTTCTGTCATCTTTTTTTTCTTCTGTCTCCTCTGCTTGTTTTTGAACTTGAAGGTGAGACCACACAGTCTACTACCATGCTCAAGACCAGAGTGAGACTGGTTTTCAGACCAGGAGTTATGTGATTTAGACCAGCCCGTCCTAGCTTGTAACTGTATTTTCTCTGCTTGCCTTTAGCTTTATCAGTATTCATCTGACTTTGCTCCATGCCTGCAGACAGGAACATGACATAAATTTCTAATTAAAAAATGTTACATATTTTGTGTTTCACGAGAATGCAAAGGGGTGCACTAATGTAGGGTACTTGCAGCTTAGCTGAACACAGAGACAGGCCAACTCCTCTCCGTCCATCCACCCATCCATGCATTACTATGGGCAGGCCTCATTTGCTTGGCCGATCCAAAAATGGTGCACGTATAAGGTTGGCATGTACATTTGTACAGATTTTTGTTTTATATGACAGTTAAGGACTTTTATTGCAAAAGAATTGGAATTGACCGTTTGCAAGAATTCAGTATAACTTAGTATAGCACATCCTAATTTCTCCAAAAATGAGCAGACACAAAATGGTGATACTGCTAAGACTATAATTAAAAGGGCCAAAGGGTAAGACACCTATAATTGCTAACCGGATTAAAATGTTACTACAGGCCTACAGGGAGCTCTCCCAATCCTCCTGATTTACCCACTTCGGCACTGACTGCAGTCCTGTATGATCTCCATATGCTGTTAATTGAACATTTGTCTTTGTGGACAGCACTCATAAAAATGATGGGGCATGTTCAAGCATATAGGCCACTTGAGAATCTGATTAGTCTGCATTGTGAATAGCCAGGCTGGGAGTTGCAATGCTGAAAGGCTGTTTTTCCCTGATCAAATCCGTTTTGTGCTTTACCTATTCATTATAAGGTAGCATTCTTTCAGTGTTTCAATTAACAAACCTTTGCTTTCATGTGTAGCAACTGTGAATATGGACTAAGAGAAATGATAGATTTCTTATAAGGACTTATAGGACTATTCCAAAAAAAGAGATTGCTCCCTTGTTCATTCTGCTTATTTCCCATAGGTTGCACAAACCACAGATGGAATGGATGCTGATTTGTGGAAAGACGGCCTTTTCAAATCTAAGGTGACACGGTACCTCTGTTTCACAAGGGTCTTCTCCAAGGAAAACGTAAGTTGCTTTTTTCCCCCTCTTGGATTAAACTTTGAATCAGGAATTATTTCGAATCAGGAATTCTGCTTGTTCTTGGTGCAGTGTTTATTAGTTCGGTTACATCTTTGACATGACCTAGTTTAAAAAATGAGAAGTTGAAGTGTTGGCTGGGAAGTTCATGGAAATACTGGGATGATGTGGTTCTATCTAAAAGTTTGGTATTGGAGCTAATCAAGTTATTGTCATTTGGCTGTTTGCCACAGTGTATTGGAGTTGATATTAAACGCTGAATTTGAGCTCAAAGTACAGACTTTCAGCTTCAATCTAAGCGGAATTTACATCCAGATCAGGGGACCAGTGTAGGAATTACAACCATTTCATACAGAGCTTCCCCATTTTAGGAGGGACTCAAAAGTAATTGGACATTTGACTGCTCAGCTGTTCCATGGTTGGGTGTGTGTTACTCCCTCAGTATTTAACTTACTAAATAAGCAGATAAAAGGTCTTTCACATTTGGAATCAGTTGCTGTTAACTCTCATCATGAAGTATAAAGAGCTGTCACTGCCAGTGAAAAGTCAAAACAAAGCCATCACACAGCCAAAAAAAATGGGTGTGACCAAAATTAGCTACTTAAAAATAACACCCTGGTGAGCTCAGAAATACCAAAAGGCCTGGGAAAGCACAGAAAACAACTGTGATGGCTAACAGAAGAATTCTTTCCCTTGTGAAGAAAAACCCCTTCACGACAGTCGGCCGCATCTATGTATCTGTATCTGTATCAAAGTCAACAATCAAGAGAAGACTTCACCAGAGTAAATACAGAGGGTTTACCACAAAATGTAAGCCATTGGTAATAGGGATGTACTGATGCCACTTTTTCCTTTCTGATACGGATACCTGATCCTTAAATATCGGCTGATATCGAGTACCCATACTGATGCTAACTCTGTCTAACCTAACTAGCTTATTAGTCAACGCAGATCATCTTGTAAAAGAATTATGAGAAGAGAAGAGTATGGAAAAGTGTTAAGTACGATAAGGAACTAATTCCCTTGTATTTAATGATGTGACTGCGGACGAAAGCTGCAGGGTGAATTCTGAAGTATACAGGGCTGTATTATCTGCTTAGAACGTGAAGGAAATGAAGTCAGCTGCAGTAAAGGCCTGGCAGAGCATCGCCTGGGAAGAAATGCAGTGTTTAGTGATGTCTATGGGTTCTGGACTTCAGGCAGTTTTTGACTGCAAAGGATTTGCAATTAAGTATTTAAAATAGCAGTTATTTTTAAAGCCCCTTAAAAATGGGGGGCTGTGCTTGAAAAAGGTTGTAAGTCATTCATAAATGCTCCCAAATTAAAGCTGAAAGTCTTCAATTTGAGCTCATTATTTAATTTCAGTTCCAATATTCTGTGGTAGACAGCTGAAATAACAATAACTTTAATCACTATCCAAATATTTATGGACCTGACTTTGTCTGTTGGCTATATTAAAAATGACCAATTTAGATTCTTTGTTAAGACAATTTTACCTGGATAGTAGGCTTGAGCTGAGCGTAGTATCAAGATGGTTAAGCTTAACGATTTAAGTGTGAGAAAATACACTGGCCTCGGGTTTAAAAGCACAGAGGACCTGGTTGTCACAAAATCTGTAGTCCATGTCCGGTATCAACCCCAACATGTTGTCAGTCTTCAAAATACTCTATAGCAGTGCAAGGCAGAACTTTGTTTTCTTTCTTTTTTTGTAAAGCAGCTCTTGCTTGTCTGCTGACTAGGGGACATGATCGGATGGTAGTATTTTGTGCACAAGCTTACACAAACATTGCTTACAGCCTTTGGCAGTGATGTTACAGCCCGTCAACATGGTTTCAAATGCCAAAGATTTTGATTTAATAGTAAAGATATTCCATTTACCAGTTATATTCAAGAAATATATCTATTAATAAAATTCTTGTGCATATTAAATATGCAGAACCCTGTCATGTAATAGTAGATAAGTGCTGCAAAAATCCCAAGCGGCTGCCTACTTAGAACTGTGTGGGCGTATCAGAAAGCATAATGATTGACAGTGGCATCTTTCTGGCATTGTAAACAAACCACAGCCAGTGACAGTGGTGAGGATCAGTGTGATTCAGCCCTAAATGTTAGATTTTAAAGAACAAGAAAGACACAAAAACGAATCGCATCGCTCTTCTCAACCAGTGTCTGGGTGGTGGGGTCACACAAGCTCCTGCTATAAGTCGCTATAGTCATATTTGTGGACACTGTGAAGAAATTTCTTGTGTGCCTTATTGTGTGCCACATCTGTAAAGGACAGTCGTGGGGAAATATTGTGAGCCTTGATGTTAATTTGGGTAGCTGTTGATGTAACATTTCATTTTAATTTCTACAGTTAAAGTGGATTGCTAGCTATCACACTTTAGTAAATGAAGTTAATTATATTATATATAGGATATTAGGATCCTGTAACAGGTGGATAACACAAGTGGGAAGCAGCGTCTATGTACGCTGCAAACAATGGTGTAATAAACCTTCATAACAAACTTTGTTAACAAATTTAGAAAAGCCTAAATAACCTACTTGTTTGGAGTTTTGTCTGGGAGTAGCGGGAGAACAGTCACTTTGTGCGAGGGAGAGGAATGTGAGTAGCTGACGTATACACATATAACTCTGGTACTTTGATAGCTCTGATGTCACCTACACCAAATTTAGACACACCTAACTCAAATCGAACTGAAGAAAACGTCTGAAAAAAGTAATTTAAAATCTCTTAACATTTAAATACCATTCATTCTTTCTCTGTTGTCTCTTCTTTCAGTTTGTAGTAAATTGAGAAATTAGGCAGGGCTTTAACAAGTGGTTTAAATGTCTTTTGCTGCTGGCTGCTACTGTTCTAAAGTGGAAAATGAAAACAGCCTAACAGCCAGCTGTAGTATATACAGTGTTTGTGCTCTGACTGTGGTTATGCTAGCTGCTTTTTGTCAAAACACTGTGAAACTAGCTGCACGTATAACTACACAGTTAGGGGTAAAATTAACGACATGTTGAAAGAGGCAGAAAATAGACTCTAAGCAGAACAGCTGTGTGCTTACATTTTATGTGCAGCTTGTTTGTGTTTTGTTGAAAGGTGTCTTGTTTACAGACAATCAAAACATTGGCTTCAGAGGTATTACAAGTTTCATTTTCCATATATATATATATATATATATATATATATATACTGAAACGCTGCAGACATTTTGATTTTATTAACTTTAACAAGAACGTGCCTCACTGCTGCAGGCTGTGGATAATGTCCATTTGCCTCTATGAGAATTGGCTCAGGCTTCATATAGCCAATATCCAGCCCATTAACATATGTCTGGATCAGCTCCAATCCTGATACTTCAGGTTGGATTGAGACATTACTTATTGTTTCCATTTTCTTGCAATTGAAAAGAGGTTCAATTTTTGTGTTCCTTTGAAGATTTTTTTTCTTCTAATTCCTGGCCAAAGTGGGGATGGCTAGCTTGCCATTGATTTTCAGTTTGTGATTTGTCTTTTGACTGCCTTGTCTTTTCCCTGTACAGTTAAAGTATTTATGCTGTGACAGTCCATGTCAGCCAGTCGTAGTAAAATGAAGATGGTTGTTAACGGAAGTGCTTAAAGAAGAAAACTAAACCTCAGTCATAGTCCAGCTATGGTTTGATTGCGTATTAAATATTTAGAACTCTTTCATGCATTTTAAATAGGAGGATGATAAATAAAGACCTAATTTGGAACGTTTTAAAAGTGCTCTTTTTGATATGTTGGCAGTCTTTCCAAGGAAGAATATTTTGTTTCCGCTGGTTTTCTGTTTTTTCTTAATCTCAAGCATGGTCTCTGTGTTTTGTTTGTATCATGAAGGATGTTGTCTGCTGCTGTGAAGTTATCATTGGTGAGACTTTAGAGTTTTCAGAGTCTTGGATAAGACACAAGACAAGCTAAGTTTTAGAGAAAACCCAGAATACTTTGTCTCACGGAATGCTTCTTAGGCCATCTCTGTCAATTGTTCTTGTATTTAGGTCAGCAGTGTTTCAGAGGAAAAACTTTTGAATTATGGGTTTTACATGTGTAGTGTTTTTTTTTTTTTTTTTTTGTTTTTTTTTCCTTTACTAATTCTGTATCTACTGCCAGGTTACTTTTTTGTCAGAATACTTGCTACATAAGTAAATGTGTCCTAAAATCACATCTCTTCGGATCAGGAAGAATTACATCCTCACTTGTTGGAATATTTGTCCGTGCTAGTTTTTGAGGATTTTAGTGATAAAAGCTATTATCATCTGCCAGTTGTAGCTGATGCAATTACTTATGTCACACACAGGGAGATCACAGTAGTGATCACTCTCTGAGGAGGGAACACTCTTAAATCTGTTTTTGTCGTTTGTCTTTTGACTGTTGGCTTTTTGTAGGTGAAATGGAATTGCATGCTTAAGACAGGATGACTTGAAAGGGGAATCCCACTGATTTTTCAAAATGTCTGCTTAGTTAAATTGTTGAGATGTAAATGACATCACTCAAAGTGGACTACAGTGGTAGTGATCGGAGTCAGGGATCACCATGTCTCCAACACAAATATAGCCATTTTACAAACAAACCAGAATGACCAGTGAACCTATGTGTCTCTGTGAGTTTTTGTATGTAATGGTATAAAAAAAGCGCTAAATCAGCAAGAGTAACTTAGGTCAAAATCTTCTCAAACTATTGTAATGTGATGTGTGAGACATCAGGCAGTGTATTTGTAATCATGTAATCCAAAAGCTTTTAGGGTAGACATCAAACGCTTCAGATTTCTGGTTCCTATCACCAGCACTGCGAATGGTGACTCTCTAAACCTTTTAATTACACAAAAGATTTGAACAGAATGGTGCATTTCCCAAGTAATTCTCTATTAATTTGGAATTATCGTGCAGTTTTGAATATCTGTGAATCCTACATAAGGCCTTATCTTTTGTCTTGCATTTAGTGCCAGGCTACCAGTCATTTGAGGTTGAGGTTTTCTCAGCTTTATGCAAATGAATTATGATGTGGTGATGTTGCACTGTAAATGATTGGGTCCAGCAGATTTCACAGAGCGGTAGACCCAGGTTTGTCCAAGGTCCCCAGCCTCTTAATACCTCACTTTTTGTGCCCACCAGCATTTTGTTCCTATTCCCAATGGTGTCACCCACAAAAATAGGAGAGGAACGTCTAAACCATTTGAATTTATAAACTTATGACCATGGTTCATATTTGAAACAAAACAGTGACCCATATGTAGCCTTTTTTATTTATGTATTTATTTTTTATTTATTTAGTTGTCAGTAGCTTGAACTGTACATGCCTACATGCAACAACCCGAGAGGCCTTATACACGCCCACAAGAGACAAACTCAGGGCGACATTAGTGCCATGTCGCCTCCTAATTTGAATATATGGTCTAATTTTACTTTCTTTTATCTCAAATTAAGTGGACAGGCACTGTTTTTGTGAGTGTGTGTACTATCAGTCCACTAGTGGAGTGGCATCATGGCAAAGAAATTTTCACCATGCACAGTGTATCACAATATTTATTTTTTCTGATATCTGATAAGTTAAAATGGGGAAAAAAAAGAGTAATAATGCCATATTTAAAAATACTGTCAAAATTGAGTACAGATGATTTGTATTTAGCATTTCATGCAGTGCATGTCACTAAATCTAGTTAAACAGGACTAATTGTGCTCTCATTTTAATAAAGCATGCAGTTGGTCTGTGTTCTAAGACTACTGACAATATCTACGATGTACACGGGATAGAGCTTTTTGACATGTTATGATATTGTTATCTTGATTAATTTATAATTGCCACATTGCTCAGCCCTGCTGTTGACTACTACCTGCTTATATTACTCTTGGTAATTCTGTTAAAACTCTGATCTAATATATATATATATATATATATATATAAAAGGCAAGAACTGATGTCAGATCAGCACTCTTATTCTGAGAAATTTAATAATATGGGCCACTTTGTACTTGTTTCCACAGAGTCATTTAGGAAACGTGCTGGTAGACATGAAACTCATTGACATTAAAGATACACTGCCTGTGGGCTTTATCCCAATCCAGGAGACTGTGGACACACGTAAGCACTACTCTCTTCTTTTATTCCTTTTTTGCTCCTCGTCTCACTCTACCTTTTTCTCCAAATGTGACTGTTTGTTACTAACTCCAAAAGTGCAGCCATCTTGAACAGATATGCAGGTTAAGCAAGGGGTACATTTTAGGTGCATGTATTGGGGGGGAAAAACAAGATACAATGTTTGGTTTATTTTTGAATAATTAAGAATATATTCAATTTCACCCCAGACAGTGTACATACATATGTACAGAATCTTTGAAAATATCACATTCAAAAAGTATTTTAGTATTATTAGGACCCTACAGACGTCATCGCCTTAGGTTGTTTTAAGGCTCCGTCTGCAATTAGTGCAGTTTTGAGATAATGAAGGTAAAAGATTTCACTTTCGATATGGAAAAACTTACATGTAGTACAGTCACCTTTCAAATACAAACAAAGTCATTGCTTTCAATGGCTGAATGTTAAAATTATATAGTATTTGGAAATAGTCTTTTCTAGAGTGGACAAAACAGATGGAACCTTTTCATTCTGAGAGCTCTCTAAGTTAAGTTTAGAATAATACGGTTCTAAACTTTAAAAAGCTTAACAAACCCACATTAGAATGGAAACTTCACCACACTGTTCAAGTCATTTATTTAAATAAATCACTACAGCGACAATAAACATAATGGCCAATGGCCATTATGCCAGTCGAATGCATAATGCAGTGGAATTCAATTCAGTGTAAATATATAATCATAATTCTGTTAACAGACTAACTAGAACACTGTTGACCCTCTGCGTGTGAAATGGTGACCTTGTGTTGAGCTGCCAGCAAGCAATGACAGATGAAAGGGGAGGGTGAGAACCGTCTGTGAAAACGATTTGCACCTCTAAACAAAAAAGGCTGTGCAGATATAAAATGGACAGCACAACTGCAGCTTTCTTGGTATCAAACTGCCACAATAAAAAAATAGCATTTAAGTACAATAAAAATATACTTATAGATGTTGAATTGCTTGCTCACCTGTGAAAATAAAAATCCAGTTTGCTTGTGGTTTAGCAAATTGTACACATTTTCATGAAATTAGATTCCGTCAACATTACTGAAGGAAAAATGTGTAGTTGAACTGAGGGACCTGCAAAACGGGTACTGTGAAAGTTGTAATAATCAACCTTAATCGCTCCTATATGCCAGCTTTTAATACAAACACCTGATGTAATACATGGTCTTTCTCAGGGTTTTTCTCAGTGCTGTAATGAACAGTATCAGCAGGTGAACTAAATAATGGTTGGTTGGTTTTTCCCCTTGATGTAACGCAAGAAGTCCCTTATAAAACAACAGCAACCTTTAATCACATACCTGCATACATCTTAATGACCTTAAGCTTTTTCTTTCTGTGGTGTGATATCTGTCAGTAATGTAATGTTCCTCTTTTGCGGTTTTCCTGCACTTAAGCTAATTGATTAAGTGAACTGATCCTTAACCATGCTTTTGACCCTGCTGCAGACTTTCACTTCATTCACACTTCTTCCTCTGCCTCTCATCCTCTGTAGAGGAGCCCGCGTTCCGGAAGAGGAGATTGTGTATCAAGTTTATCCCAAGGGACTCAACCGAAGCTGCCATCTGCGACATTCGCATCCTAGGCCGCTCTAAACAGGCTCCACCACAGTATACCTTCATAGGGTCAGTTGCGATTTTAGATATTGGGGCTTGATATGAACTTATTGGAAACAGTACCACTTTTAAGTAGTAAGTACAGTCTCTGAAAGTATTGGAACGGCAAGGCTAACTCTTTTGTATTTGCTGTATACACTGAAGACATTTGTGTTTCAGTGTATTATCTTTCATGAGAAGGTAGATTAGAATTTCAGCTTTTATTTCCTGATATGTACAGCTAGATGTGTTGAACAATTTAGAACATGGCACATTTTATTTGAACTGGTCCATTTTTCATGTGAGCGAAAATACTGGAACATGTGACAGGTGTTTCTCTTTGCCATGGTGTGCCCTGTTAGGTTGTTTAAACAATTAATAGCTCTGTATAGGGCTGGACAGTGTGACAGTAATGTATCGTTAATGTAATAAATTATGTCATAGTATGTCACAATAAGCTTTTCTGAAGCGCTGATATCATCAGTATCCATTTTGAAGCTTAAAAAAGAGGAAAAATCAGTCAGAGCGATTGCACAAGCATTGCGCATAGATTTTTATGGAATGATGAGGTCAAGATTAACCTCTAGTAAAGTAATGGAAAGGCCAGAGTGTTAAGAAAGAAATGATACGTTTAAGATCCAAAACATACAAGCTCACTGGTCAAGCATGGTGGAGGTAGTGTCATGGCATGGGCTTGCATGGCTTCTTTTAGAACAGGCTAGCTAAATCTTTATTGATGATGTAACTCATGATGGTAGCAGCCGAACAAATTCAGAAGTCTACAGAAATAGTCTGTCTGCCAGTTTACACAGAAATGCATTGAATCTAAATGGGAGGAACTTCATTATGCAGCAAGACAATAACCCAAAACACACTGCCAACACAACAAAGCACTTCATCAGGGGAAAAAAGTGGAAGGTTTTAAAGGCCAAGTCAACCACCAGAGCTTAAACCAAGCATGCATTTAATCTCCTGAAGAGGAGGCTGAAGTGAGAAACCCTCAAAAACAAACAACTAAAATAAACTGTGGTAAAAGCCTGGAAAAGCATCACAAAAAAGAATGCAACAGTTTGGTGACGTCAGTGGGTCGCTGGCTTGATACAGAACTTGTAAGCAAGGGATATGTGCCCAAATATTAAGTGTTATTTACTTTTAATTTACTTCAAGACTATCTGTTCCTATACTTTTGCTCACTTTGGTCTGCAAAAGTGCCATGTTCTAAATTGTTTAACAGAGACAGAAATGTGTCCAACAGACATTCTCATCCAAAAATTAAGCACTGTCTAATCACTTTACTAATGCAGTTGACCTCCACTTTAAAGCTAAATGGTTCCCACAGCTGTATCTTTCCCGGTTAGGGTTTTTTTTTTTTCTTTTTGATGTGCCAAAAAACTGTGCAAGACAGTGGTTCAGTAAATTACAGCTTCACTCACATGCTTGACTATGGATGTCGCTCAACACCATTCACTCGACTTTGCACTCTCATATATGGGTCTTTAGTTTCTAAACCTATATAATTTGAACATCAGTTTGCTGGACCTGTGCTTGTACTGTTGTGTATGGTAAAGGTCTCCCACAAAAAATCAAAATCATTTTTCCCTCGCCCGCCCGCTACCGAAACGTCTTGACGTTGAGTTCCATCAGGGCGAACTGACATCCTTTATTTGACATGGTCTATTCACAAAAGCTTTATTCTCTGCAGAAGTAACACGGTAGTCATGGACATCGGGCTTACTGTGGAGTAACGAACACAAAGCAAAAATTAAACCACAGAATGGTTATTTTTGGTATTTTGCTGGGCTTGGCAGAGTCGTAAAGACATGTTGTCCATGAGCATTCCTACATATTCTTATGTCCAGATGAGCTCAAGTTTGATATTTTTAAGTCCTCTTATTATGACCGAGTTTGCCAGGCAGATGTCAGTAATTTTCTATCTCAAGGGCCTGAAATGTGCCATTCTTGATATCATGTATTCTTAAGGCCAAATAAGAAGCTAGATTAATACTTAATGCCCTTTTTAATTGTTCTCATTGGCTGCTGTTGATGTATTTCTGACTTAAATGAGATTTCCTTTGCAGAGAGCTGAACAACATGGGGATTTGGTACCGAATGGGGAAAGTGCCTCGGACCCAGGACTCATCTCCAGTACAGAGCAACTCTTCCTCCACAGGCACTACCACCAACATTCAGACAGTCACCACCAACTCCACTCCAGCACCTGTCATGCCCAAGTACGTGTGGTTGTATTATTATGCTTGTTCTATACCACATGTAGCATGGGATGACCAGCAAAGCAGAATGTTTCCACAGTGCATTTGTTTTTACACCAGTTCTGAATGAAAACCGTTGTGTGAGTGCATTTTGTACGTGCTTCTAGTGGCGTTCCACTTACAGCAAGTGGCAAAAAATAAATTCGAAGCTTAAAAATGTTGGAATGCATATGTGCCTGTTGCTAAGCTGCTTTCTATACACAGTCAGTATAAAAGCTACATTTATTAACCTAGGAGCATATTGCATCAGTGCAGAAGTGTTGCAGTTAGCAACTTCCAATGTAAAATGTGCTTCAGAATGTACAGATGAGGAAGACTAAGTGAAAAAGAAGTATAAGGAGGTGTTAGCCATACATGCAACTCAGAGCTGACCAGTGCCACTGAGAAAAAGAAGAAGAAAGAATAAGAAAGTGAGGGGGGAGTAAACGCTAGGGTGTGTGCAGAGTCTGTCAGGCGGCCAGATGCGTTGCATTCCACAGATAATAGTATTAACAAATGTGGGCCTGCTGAGATCCCCCAGTGCTTTGCAGTTGAACCTACAATGGGAAGTCCAGACAGTTAAAAGGGCTGCCTTGAGTTGTCTTTTCAGCATTGTCTGACACTGCCTGCCTTAGCAGAAGTCATGTAGTCATTATTGGTGTAAAACAGGGCTGTTAAAACTGATGATGCCTTTAGTTTTCAAAGTAGCTTGGAGGCTCTTGGAAGTTTTTTCTGTCTTTTTTGCTTAATTCATGTCACTGTGAAGCAAGAAGTCAACTTCAGCTGCTGTTTCAACATCTGTCTGCTTCCTGACTTTTATGTGTGTCTCACTCATCCTCTAAAAAAGATTTGTCTCAATTAGAATCCCCGTCAGTGCTGTAGGTTCTGCTGTAAAGTTTAGAGGCACTCGCAGTATTTCCCAGAGAGTATTCATGACCCCAAAGATGCTTTGAATGAATACATGGTAAATAATTTGACATGCCGCTGTTGTCAGAACAAAACCTTGTATCAAAATGAGAAATTTACGGGAGAAGAAAAAAACATACTTTACTTTTAATGTAAGTCAAAGGAAACAAACTTTTACCTGCTGTGTGAACATTACCTTAGCCTCCATGACGCAGAGTGGACTTGGTGGAGTTACGTGACTACACGCGCGGTAGTAAGTTTTTAAGGGGACAGTACATGAACACACAGAGTGGTGAAAGGATTAACAGAATTTTAAAAAAATCGAAATAACCGACGTGGGCAAGATTACGTCAGTTAAAGGTTCTGTATGTCTGTTTCGATTACTTTTTGATTAATCGCCCAGCCCTAGTACTACCATACTCGACCAGATTCCAGAGAGACTGTAAAACTCCAGCATACAAAGTAATGAATGTTACAATCCTAAATTGTCTATGTTGAAGATACAGTATGCTAAGAAACGCTAATGGACACAGTTAGCTTGATGCTGATATTGCATAGGAATTCCCATTAAAAGTCTAATGCAAATGACCATTATGCTAGCAGTAGAAAATTCATGAAAAATGGCATTTATACAGCAAATTTTAAAAAATGAGTTTTTGGATAAAAGATTGCTTTATTTGGAGTGGGTGTGGATGGCTGGCATGTTCATGATTTTATGATAGATTGTTTTACAGACATTAGGTTTTGGTTTCTGCACACAAGCTAATTGTCCCAGATTAGCTGCTAGTTACATTAACCTTGCAGCTGCAGTGCAAAAAACAAAAGAGGTAATTTTCTGGCACCAAACATATCTTGACTGATCAGTTTAGGATAAGGGAGAAATTATGTAAATTTGATTTTGCAGTGATCCTTTAACAGATGTTCTTTTACGACACATGCAGTGCTAAAAAAGGAGTGGGTTTACTTTCACACCTGTAATACTATCATCATCTGATTTTGTCAGTTACCCGATTATTCAAGTGGTCTTATAAACAGCATACTCTGAGTTCTTAGATTGGATTAAAGTCGTTATGTGATTTCCAGTAAAGGGACCTGGCTTTTAGCTTGGTAATCATGTTTTTCTGTGCCTGTAAACAGTTAATCTGATTTTTTTTGTTTTCCTGCATCTGAGCATGCATGAGAACAGGGGCAGATAGAGAAGAGATTCCTGGGAAACAGCAAAACTAAAGACTTGTTTCAGCACTGCAACTGTGAAATGGGGTGAAATGACCCATTATGTGCAGTTTGGAGCTATATAGACTCCCAAATAAAGAACTCTGTGTTAAAAAGAAAATTTCAATTGAATTTTAGGTCATTGGCAAGTTGCTAAACAATAGTAAAGATACATATCAAATATTAAGAAAAAAAGAAATCGGATTATTGAATGGCTCTTGTAGACCCAGAGTTTTCTCTTTCTCAAATTGCTGTAGTTCTCCATTATAACTGGACTAATGGCTTATGTTACGTTTACAAAGCACAATCATCTCTAAGCTAAGTAGGCTAACTTTGTGATTAGATATGCTAAAGATTCAGCCTCAGGGATTTCATGAGCTACCTATGTAAGGCACACTGACTTGTCATGGCAAATACAAGTAAGTTTTGGGTTCTGTAATGTTTTGTTTACAACAGCCATTAACTGAGTATTTGTTCATTTTAATAAGAATGAAATTTAATATAAAAAATGATTAAATGATAGACCAGTTTCTGCAGGAATGAGAATATGCCATGGGCATTTATCAAAAGTATTTGATTTTTTTAAAAATGCATTTATTTATTACTGCTTTTGCTTCGTTATCCTATTGTATGGACCTTTATTGTTTTCGAGGCCTTGTTTTGTTGGCCAGTGTACAGAGTGTTTCCAGATCATAATGGGGACAGATTCTGGCAGCAGGCCTGTAACAATTTGTACGTAACTGCCTGATTACAATTGTTTGAGCTGATCAGTTATTTAGGCTGACCACAGTTGTTGGCTTTGACAATGATATCTTTATATCACAACAAACTGATTGTGAAATGGTTTCATTTTCATCTGCTGGGTTGAGGCAAATGTACCTCATTTATGTGTCTGGATCTCAATCCGTGGTTCGATTACCTCAGATATCCCCAGAAAGAGCATCCAAACAGTATCTGTCAGTCTCATCAGTGTGAGCGAAATATCACATTGCTCCAGGACGCCTGTGTTATGGGCCTGCAGACGGGCACAACCTTTAAGACAGGAGCTGGTCTTCATTAAGGCTGTCAGTCGCCTGCCGAGAGATTGACGCTAACCTTTTGGGAGATTGAAAAACTCACCCTGCTGCTGGAAGTCAGGGAAGCACAGACACGTTGCTGTAAATGTTCGGGTCAGGAAAAAGACCTCATCAGGCTGGAGAGGCGGCAGTTTGCAGAAGCTGCAGAGGATGGCACACACTTGGTCAGTTAGAACAAGAACTGTTACATTTATTTCAACTTGAAGTCAACATGCAAAAAAAAACTTTTGATTGGTCACATGTAGCACTAATGATGCTTCTCGTTTAACAGGATTTCACAGTGATAATCAGTGCTTATGCATACAAGGGGAACATAAATATAGAGGTTTTTCTTTTTTTTTGGATGAAATGAAAGTGCACTTGTTTGATTCTATGGTAATGCTTGTGTTTTTTTTCACAGACACATATCAATGACCCTACCTGCCAGCTTTAGAAAGAGTACCACTAGACCTGACTACGAACACCAAAACTCCAACCTGTATGCCATCTCAGGTAAAAATCTCATATGTTTTTATCATAAGTTTGCCTGTAATAAGAATTAGTTCATCATACAATAAAATATTAGGTTCTGGAATCCTGAGAACATGTATGAGCTCCTGGTGTTCTCAGAACATTGGACTGAACTTTGAAGATGTGGAAAAATATCCCTGCAGATTTCTTTTAAAACTGAAAGGAAGTCTGTAAGCTGGAAACTGTAATAAAGGCAAAGGGTGGACACAATAAATACTGAACATATTTAGCTATATTTAGTTGAGTCTTCTGTGTGATTTTCTGTTAAAAGCTCTTTAAGACTGTTGTAGACTTAAGAGAGGACAAAAGGCTGCAAAAGGGTCTAGTTAGTATATGCTTTTATAAATAAACGCTCTTTGTGCAGAACTGTTAAACGCCTCAGTACTGTTCTGAGTGCCTGTGCCTCATTTCGCCCCCAGATTTATAGCTTATGTAATCTGAGAACTAATGATAAAACCACTGCACTGTATGCAGTCCACTCTCCACTTATCTTTTTCAGTGAGAAATCTTTTTATAATCGTTTCAGATGGAGCTTTCTCCTTCTCCTCAGTACTGTGTCTTGAAAGATATTTTACTAAAATCCTGACTAGTATTGCTTGAATCATGTCCTTGATGTGTATATATATGTCATGACATTAATTAATTCATTCCCTCATTGATGAATCACTCTTTGGTCATGTGTTTTGAAGCTATGGATGGAGTGCCTTTCATGATCTCAGAGAAGTTTGCATGCGCTTCCAGTGACGTAAGTACTTCTTTACAAGTATTTATGTATTTATTTAGCTTAGCTTTGGAATTACATATTTTGTTTGCTGTATTTCCCTTGACAAGTTCATTTTTGTGAAAAATGAACATTTGAATGTATGGCTTTTTGGGACTAATTTTTGATTAAGTGTATTGGAATTTAGAGAGTTTGCTTTAACTGATTTTCATGGCATTACCTCTGCTAGTTAGTAAATGGTTGGTTCAAATGTCTTCATACTGGGGCTGTTTTACTGTTTCTTTTCCAGCACATTTATGAATTTTCATATGAAAGATGAGTGAAGTAAAAATAACCACTAGTGGTTTTCCTAATGTCTTGTTCTCTTTTACAGTTACAGCAGGTGGATTTGATGGGCATAAGAATCAAATCTCTTGCTGAGATTGAAAAAGAGGTGAGTTTTTTTTTCTAGTATCAACTGTCCTTTGACTAGCTCTGAACAGTAGCGTATGAGTCTAGATATCATTGCAGACAGGCCTGTCACAATTATTACATTTTAGCTGTTGATTAATTGGTGTATAAATAATTTCGCTAAACACTTTTTTTCTTGTGATGTGTGGTTTTATGTGCCAGTAACAGTTATATTTCTTTTTTACAAGACCATTTTCCAACTTCTCTTTATCCCATGTCGTTATGCAGGCTGTTTTTCTTACAGTCTTTAAGATACGTTAAATTTCTGTTGTGTACTGTAAGATATGTTAAATTTCTGTTGTGATTGGCGGCCATGCACTGTGCCTCATTCCAAACTCAGTCCAGAATGCAAGTGGGTGGAGCTAAACTTCTGTTAGGTGGTTACGTTAATGATATTAATATTGAATTAATTCTATATGTGATGTTTTTAAAGTTTATTTTTCCATATATAGACTGTAAGGAATGAATGAAATGCTTTGATGGGAGAGAACGACTGACTGTGTACATATTAAATCACTCTGTCATTTAAAAAAAGGTCAGGAAAATTTGGTTTTCCATTATATGGGCCCTTTATGGTACAGGTCTAAAACATACACTGCACTACCGTGTATGTAGCAAAAGCAAAACTTACATCCTTTCAGACTGTGAAATGTGAGCAAAGCATGCATGCATGCCCAAAATTAGCATTAGCTATACTAGCTGTTAAAACTAGCTATATAAATGAAACGTTCTCCTGTGTTATAGCGCACATTTAAAAAGTTTGAGCTTTGTTATAACAAGAAAAAATAGGAAAAAGAACTGATTTAGTTTATTTCCATTTATTTGGCTCAAGCTATTTGGCTCAGTCTAATGACTAAAAATTGATTGTGGAGTAATTTTGATTAAGTAATAATTATGACTGCAGAATGATCAGGTTAATGAAGACTGGGTTTATTGAGTCAGTGCTGAAAGTAGAAGCGTTGTGATTTTTATGATCACTGAAATTCAGTCGTCATTGTGACTAGTGCAGTTGTGTTTTTCAGCCACTAGAGGTCAGGATTTGCTAACAAATATCTATAGCTTATAGCATTCTCTTTGTTTCTCTCTCTCTCTCTCTCTCTCTCTCTCTCTCTCTCTCTCTCTCTCTCTCTCTCTCTCCCTATCTTCTCTCTGTCTGTCTCTTTTTCTTCTGTCCCAGTACGAGTATAGCTTCCGCACAGAGCACAGTGCTGCTGCCCGCCTGCCACCCAGTCCCACCAGGACTTCTCTGGGTTCTGAGGCCTAAAAGCACATGGAACAGAGGAAAACTTGGAGGAGAAAGAATGCTCTGCGTAAAGTAGAGACAGAGAGTGATGGATACTGCCTTTCTTACAGTGAAAAACAGAATTCCCTCTAACATTATCCCTTCAAGCTCTAACTAGGAAAGAACAAAAAACAAATCTCCCAACGCTGACATTTGGTTAAAGGAAAGAAAGACGTTTTTGCTGCTGATTGAAGTGGAGGATGAGCATCATTCCTTCACTACAGTGATCTAATCAAAACCACTATTGAATTAAAAGGGATGCCAAAAGAAGGAGTTGCCTGTGGATGCTCCTTGGAAGTTCTGTGTCTCGCCAGGCATAGCCTCTGGACGTAACGCGTCACTATCTCTTAGGAAAGTTTGTTGTGACAAAGTGCCGCTCAACTACGATGATGTTAATTGTTAAAGGGTTGAGCTTGGACACTCCTGCGTTCTTGCTGCGTTACAGAAGTCGGTCGAACAAAAGCAGGTTTAAATTGCATGGAATGGGAGAGTATTTAATTACCTTTTGTTTTTCCTTTTTGTGTTTGCTTTTGTTTTTGCGTTATTTTTGGGATTTCTTTTCTTCTTTTGCTCCACTGTTACTGCATGACTTCTCAGATTATTTGATATGCATTCTGTGTTTGCCACTGAAAACAGAGCCCAGTTCACTGTACTGTAAAAGGACTTTTGAATTATTTTGAAATATTCTTTGTAAAAGAAAAAAAGAAAAGAAAAACAAACCAGTCCCATCCTGACTCCACCCTGCAAAAATAATACTGTAAATAGGTTAAAAATCAGGAATGAATTATAGTTTTGGGATCTTCTGTTACTGTGTTTCATCAATTGTCTTTTGTGTAGTGATTTTTTTTTTTTTCCATATTGTGGGTTTTTATGTGACTTTTTTTTAATTGTTTGTTTTTCTTCTAAAGGTTCGTCTGGTTGGTGTATTAGAACCACTGAATTATCTCTATAATTTTAGATTATACATGCCTTGTATTGTACTATCTGGCTTGCTGGGCTACAGTACTGTGCAAAAGTCAGATCACCCTTCATTTATTTAATTTCCAGTCGAATCAAAACAACCATTAAGTAAGTTATTTTCAGATTCTGAGGAGATTAGATGCAAGTTAATCCACTTGTATAAAGAATGGGAAAATCAGTGAAAACAGGTGTTTCAGCAGCTGGAGTGTAAAAAATTATTAAAAAGAAAATGGGACTCCTAACAACACCTTGTGGACCTCCAACACTGTCACCATCAGATAAAGAGAGCTTAAGGCTTTCGTCTTTAAGAGGGAGGAGAAAATCAAGCTCTGCTTTTGCCTTAGATATGAAAAGATCTGCAGGTGTTTCTGTCCATCGTTCCACTGTGAGAAGACAACTAAACGCTGTGAGTCTGAAAGGATGTGCAGCTGCCAAGAAGCTCTTACTGAGAAAGGAAAATTTGCAAATCAAACAAAGAAGCTGCTGGTGGCCTCGGAACAATGGACTGACCACCCTAGAGTCCAGACCTCAACATCACTGAAAGTTTTTGGGATTACTTGTATCATAAGAAGCAGAAAATGTAACCAACTTCTAAGACTGAGCTTTAGAGGTGTGGAAAAAAATCCCTGCAGATTGCGGGTCTCCCAAAAAGAATGGAAGCTGTAATAAAGGGTGGACACGCTACATACTGAAAAAATAATTGCTTAATGATTTGTACTTAATGGCTGATTTGGCTGGAAATTGATTAAATAAAGGGTGGTCTTTGACTTTTGCACAGTTCTGCACATGCCAGTCAGACTGCTAAAAAATGCACAAGTACTGTTACTTGTTTCTCTCTGTCCAGTTGTGGCTTCTGCAGTTATTATGTTACTTTCTAAGCCATGCTTACACACAGTTAGGGAACACACTCGATATATTTCTGACGTGCGGTCCCTAAATGTCTGCTGTTTGTTCTGGGTTTTGAAAAAGGAGTTTTCCATTCATCAGAATCAAACAAAAAAAAGAGTATACTTTACATAGCTGCTATAATCCTGTCTGTTCAACATGTGAGAAGTTTAGAAATTCAACCATGTAGTTTTCTTAGTCCTACGTTAAGTATGTAGGGGTTTCAATGCACATATACGTTACTTTGGTGAATATAGTTGTGCATATGTAGTGTTATTCTATTGTTTCCGTCTCTCTTGAAAGTGCCCTGTTCACTCAAACTCAGGTGAAAGTGTTGAGTTTGGAAACACCAAGTGCTGAAAAGGCTCTCTGTGCTTTTATCTGGCGGTTAGGCTCTAACTAGCACCTTCACTGTGAGACATTTTTTGAAAAAGTAATGATGTAGGGAAGTGAGTTCTGGCTTTAGTTATTGCAATTTAATTACAATGTTGAGTAGTTTTCTAGACCTAGATCAGGCTAAAGCCAGTGATTTAAAGGAGAATTTTTAAAGCGGTCACCATGAGAGGCATTACGGCTTAAATAGTGGCTTAATTTTTTGGGAGAAATGTCAGAGTCTTCTGGTATTTTGAAATATTAACATCACTAACAAGTTTTCTTCAAGGAGCCAATTTTATCGTAGCCACTGAAAAATCAATGCTGCAAATCTTTCAGTTGGATTGGCCAGTTACTTTAGATTTTGCATAATGCTGAGAGAAATTTTAACCATTTTTAACCAAACGTTCTGACTTTTCAAATTTTACAACCAAATAATAAGGTGCAAGCGTGGATAAATCATCTGTAAATACCTTTAAATCTGTTTCACACACAAATTTCAGAACTTTTAATTTTATTACATTTTGTTGCCTGGCTTTTGTGGATGATTAGTGTATCGTTTCTTTGACCCCAGTAACCCTGACAGTATTAGCCATCTGCTCAAAAGTTTATTGAAAACGAGTTCCGCTGTCTAAAATATTAAAAGAGATACGTGAACACTTTTCTTCCAATTTCATTTAATGGTCTTTATAAGATCAAACATTAAATGAGTGTTATTAATCAGAATGTGTTGGCATAGTTGATCTAGTCCTTCTAAACAAGCTTGTCAAATCCTACCAATCCAAACACTTTTTCCAGTATTCATTTTTAATTGTTTTATTTTTTAGGGTGTGTCTTTTTTTTTTTTTTTTTGGAAATGTTTCTGAATTCAAAATGACAGTCCACAATTAGAGCTGGGTATCATTCAAATTCTTATTTTATACTGATTCAAAACGATACGTTTATTCATACCTTATTTTAAAAGTGGGTGTGGCTCAGTTGTAGGCACTCAAGTTGCTTTGTCCATCAACATGCTCAGAATTGAGATAGACTTGTGAAATTTCAAGCTGACAATAAGTCAGGACTGAATATTTCAATCATGCATTTACTTTTCAATCCTAAACGTGCATCTTGCCTCTCAGTTTTGCTTTTGTCATGCCATGTTCTCACACCAGCGTCTGGTTTAATACGGCTTCAAATAACGTGTCCTCAGTAGATGCTTTGTGAGGCTTAGTTTATCCTCAACTAGTATTCAACTAAATATCTATTACACTTAAAATTGAATGTGTTAGATTTGACTAAATCTAACTTTAAACCTAATCCTAATCTTCAACACAACCTACGCCTACTCCAAAGCCTAACCTTTACCATGATGGTGTTGAAGATCAACAGAGCATTTGTTAATAATTTAATCTGTAGATCATCTATAGGGGACCATCAAAATAAAGTGACTGAAAAGCTTTCAGTCTGATGGACAGAACGAAGCACTACATGCAGTAGATGTGGTGGTTAAAGCAAAGAGGTAAAACAATTTGAAACATTTGACTAGTGTGTGGTTTGGATAGCAAGTTTGCTAGCTAGCACAATTGCTAATGTAGCTGAAGTTTTATTAGGTTACCGATTACATTCCTTTAAAACTTAACAAAACCTCAGCTGTTATAGTGACTAGTTTGCATAGATTAACCAGCCGTTTTAAATTGTTTTGCCTCTTTCCTTTTCACATGGTATTTACTGCATGTAGCGCTTCAGTTTCGTCGTTCACGCTTAACGTTTTTCTGTAGTGAAAGGCTCATTATTTGAAGCAGATTTGAACCTGACAGGGGTACACAAAGTAAAGGAGTTTACTTTTGTACACCCAGACTAAACTAAAATTCTCTACTAAAGACTCGAGACTCGACTCCGACTCACATCAAGTCACTTGCGAGCATTTCTGGTGTAGCTTAAGTCAGATATGAGTGTGAGGCTCTGGAACTGGGCATGTTCGATGACCACAATAGGTTACTATACAAGAACTTCGGACGTTAAGAACAGCCGATTAACAATGTAAATTTTGGAACAAGCATTCATATCGGCTCACTGGTGCTAATGAGACTGACTGCTTCAGTATTGAAGTTTGGTATTGAATGATAAAGTCTTTGATAGGACCATAAAAGTATTGAATTTTGATACCCAGCCCTACCCACAGCATATAAGACTGAATCCGCTTTCAAATTTAGGACTGCCTTGTAAAAGTGGGTGAATGACATCAAACTGAATTAACTTTATTAAAAACAAGCATTTTGATGTTGTGCTGCAATGCAGTATTATAGGATTTGAAATTGAGATTCCCGGGGTGTTAGAAAACGATCCAAAAAGGTATTATGGCAACAAAAAAGCTCTGCGTTCAACCTTTCATGCTTATCATTTATTAAATTCTTATTTTATTGCTTTTGTTAATTATTTAATTACTAACTTAAAAAATGTTCTGTTTGTAGCTAGTTAATCACAAAGTGTTTTAATGTTTACTCTGGACTAGTTTAATCTGTGATTCCGTTTTAACCATACACAACCAAGTTAGTACTCATCTGGAATGAACATGTTACATTGGAACCATTACATTATGCATATTTTTCCCCTGTCTGTTTCAAATGACTTTGTTTTGCCTCCCTATAAACCTGCTGTGTTCATGTCAACTTCAGTGTGCAATGACTCAAGCAGTTTGGAATTGAATGCTCTGTCATCAGATGTTTTCTTTATAACATGTATAAATGTGAATATTAGTACTGTCCTGTTGTGTGATGTGGGTTTTGTTATGATAAAGGTATAATGACAGCAGGCGTAACCGAAAGACTTCAGATTCAGTGTATAGAGAACCAAGCAGCTTTGAATAAGGAAATTCAGGGATGAGCACCAATACTCAAGCACTTGGTAAACCTTTCCAGGTGCCAATATTTGAATACTGGAAATGCTGTTCAGCTACTTGAGCACAGCTGTCCATAGGCCTAAAGTGCTCTAAACTGCTAACATGGCTAAAACTAAGCTAGCTAGCAGCGCATACTACCACACTAAATAGTGCAGGACAGTGGGGCACAACACGTTTAGGTTTTTACCGCCCATTTTTTGTTCGCCCAAGTACTTTGGACAATTTTGTTTTATACACGCAACCTATATATCCCTGCTACAAATGAAAGCTTGAACTTTATTTCTGCTGTTTACCGATTATGAAAAGATCTGCTGAAAGCAGGCTCAGAGCAAATATTATGTGGGGTTAATTGTAGCATATGGAGGGCCTAGTTTATAAAACTTGCTAAAAAGTCTAAAAACTAATGCAAAAAGCAATTAATTCAGTACAGTTCTATGTTGTTTGAACTCAA